AAGATCAGTTTCATGTCTAAAAATTGAAAAGTCAAAACATTTCATTAGATTCACACTAACTCCTTTACCTGCTGCTTATAGCTAACACCTCTATTTTGTAGGATCATAGGAATAGCTGATGACAATCCTAGCGGGATACCTTGGAGAGTGTAAAGGAAGAAAAGAAGTAAAATATTTTTCCCATCTCCTCTAAGTTTACCTTCGGGCAATATTTGAGGTAATTCGCCATTTTCCATTTTTGATGATATATTGTCAACATTTTTGTTCTTTCGTCTCTCTGTTACGTTCATTTTCACTCAATTTAACTAACTGCAAAGAAAAAATATTCAGCCACGTCATGTTTAAAATATTCAAATTTGTTGCTAATTAAAAGCCAATAGTATTTTTTCCATAATACTTACAATTAATACTATCATCCAAACTTATACCAAAAACTTCAGACGGTAAAAATTATTTTAAATAATTTTATAAGGTAATGAAATTTAAATGTTGATATTTTCACTTACACATTACATTACGGTTGACGGTTGTCATTTTGTGACATCCTCAGAGATATAAAAACACGTGTACTAATGTTGCCAACAATTAGGTATTGAAATATTCTTTAAGACCTACCCTAGTTTCTTTCTTTCGGGGGCTCACTCAAAGTTTTGCATATACTTAGTTCTGCGAAATATTCATGCGAGCGATTTCTTAAAACTTATATTCTTAAGTTCATGTTGCGATCACTTGCAGGTAAAGGCTATAACTAAGATGCATAGGAATACCGTGGTGTAACTTTTACCTGGTACCGCTGGTACCTGGGGAAATTGGTAAAAACATAAAAAGTTTCAATTCTCTTTTCTTAATTATCAAACATTATTTAATCTAAGATTCATCTGAAACGCAGTTTTTTAAACTATAACTTGAGACTAATCGAGCTGGTAGAAGCAATGGATATAAACATGAAATCAATATGTTCAAATTCATATTGGAAATTGACTGAAGAAGAAGAAAAACGCCCAATTTGGACTTTCTTCAGTTTGAATTTTTAATATTGAAAGATTTAACTATGATTGATTGATATTGTTAGTTCGGAGAANGTGTTTCGATCACCAAGTGATCATCTTCAAGATCAGTTTGATCTTCCTGAAAGTTTTGAGTGAAACGATAAGAAGAGAGAAAAAAGTGGGGTAAGATTTTTTTAGGAGTGTTATATTTTTAGAGATTTTTATAACTTCAATTTTTATGGTTCGATTTACGCTGCAACGGAATGGTGGATTCTACACAACATTTCACCGTCCACAAAAATGTTAAAATTATTCAATATCAACATATATGACTCTAAAACTTCATAATCTGAAGGAAATGATTCGTTACTTGAAGTTTTAGATAATTTATGAATAATGAATATTATAAAATGTTGCTAAATGATATTATTTATTGATTGTTTTGAATTGTTTTGAATATTATTATTTTCGATGTATTATTCATGTTGAAATATTCAGTTATATATTTTATGAATAATAAAAAAAATTCAGGGGAAATTTCTAGTAATTGTAGGGATTTTAGGGGTTTTCGATTGGGGTTTTAGGGAGATAAATATTTGATAGTTGGGAACACTGCCATGTTTGTCACATGTCATTTTTCATTCTGTGATTGTGATTAGTTGAATGTCGTTTATCTGTTGAGTTCTTGAATGTTTGATATTTTCAAAAATAATTTAGAAATATTGTGATTATTGAAAGTGATATTTCTGAAATAAATTCCACTAAACTTTCATTGAAAAAGGTTAATATTTAAACAGATTCTTGTTTTTTTAAAAACAAAATGTCGAAAAAGAAAAAATCAATTAATAAACGATCCCTGTCACCTACCAGTTCACCTGAAATGAATGTTAATCTGGAATTAGGTAAGTAAAAATTATAAACAAATATGTACTTTAATAAATTTGTATTTGTCATGTTTAGGAAAACGTTTATTTTCATGTCTTTAACTCGAGTATCATTCTTCCACCAAGCTTTGACAGTATTTGGTAGACTCCTTTTCAGTAGAGGAGACTAAGAACATGTTTGAATCTGTGGAACTGATCTATCATTACATATTTAAAATATGTAACGCCTATCAAAATGATATGGCGTTTTTAAATGTATGTGCTGGCATATTTTTTTTGAGAAAAATTAATAATAGGGACAATAATCAAGTCTCTCAGATATATGGTGCAATTTTTGTAATCTAAAATTAAAGTAATGAAAAATATTGAAAGTTTTCATGGATAATAAATGAAAATCAAAAGTTTGGTTTCTAAACCAGACACAAGTCTCTAATTATTTGCAATTATTTTCAATCTAATTATAATAGTGACCCTTAGAAAATATATGTTGTGAAGGGCGGTGGCAGTACTGCATACCATCCTATAGCAGATTATTTTTGTATTGTATAAAGATCAGTTTCAAAGAATTTGTATTGACACCAATCAAACTAACTAAAATGTTGGTTATACATTCCAAAACTAACCGCTGTTGTCATATTCATAAAAAATGGTGACATTCGGAACATGGAAATTGATGAACTGAACGTCAACCAAGTTAGCAGCAATTTTATTACGCCCAGAGGGTTACTATATAGGTGGTTGATGAGAAGGTACCTGAGGAAAGCGGGAAGGTGAGGTTACTAACAAGGTTTTGACAGCAATTTTAACTATTATTGGAGTTTTATTCCAATACCAAATCGTTATTTCAACACCTTGACAGGTGTTTCGATCACCAAGTGATCATCTTCAAGATCAGTTTGATCTTCCTGAAAGTTTTGAGTGGAACGATAAGAAGAGAGAAAAAAGTGGGGTAAGATTTTTTTAGGAGTGTTATATTTTTAGAGATTTTTATAACTTCAATTTTTATGGTTCGATTTACGCTGCATCGGAATGGTGCATTCTACACAACATTTCACCGTCCACAAAAATGTTAAAATTATTCAATATCAACATATATGACTCTAAAACTTCATAATCTGAAGGAAATGATTCGTTACTTGAAGTTTTAGATAATTTATGAATAAAGAATATTATAAAATGTTGCTAAATGATATTATTTATTGATTGTTTTGAATTGTTTTGAATATTATTATTTTCGATGTATTATTCATGTTGAAATATTCAGTTATATATTTTATGAATAATAAAAAAAATTCAGGGGAAATTTCTAGTAATTGTAGGGATTTTAGGGGTTTTCGATTGGGGTTTTAGGGAGATAAATATTTAATAGTTGGGAACACTTCCATGTTTGTCACATGTCATTTTTTATTCTGTGATTAGTTGAATGTCGTTTATCACTTGAGTNTCATTGAAGCTGACATTTCAAACAAAGAAACAACTGAAAAGTTCTTCAAAAAAAATATGAAATGTTTCCTTAAAAACTAAGCAAACTTTTTCTTTTGTTTCTCACTACATCAAATTGTTAGACAATATTTTCATAGATGACGTCATAGTGTCGCCATATGTAATTAGCCGCCATTTTGAATAGCAAAGGTTACTCGTGTTATGTCGTTGATAAAAAAATGATACCCTATCAAGTGAATAAAGAATGTACAGAGTTCTATGAAAATCCTTGACCTGTATTAATTTGATATTAACTGAAATCGTCCTTAAGTTAAGGTCTTTAGTCCAGGGATGCACCATTTTATTTTAGGTAGTAATCCCCAGTAATCCTCCATTTGACTTTCTGAAAAAGGTGAGAATTCTCGACAACCTGCACAATGCAATGATCATAAATAATTTAGCTATTCATTATATTATTACTGGAAAGTACTTGTATTCATAGTGAATGACTATTAATTTTATTAGTTAGAATAAACAATGAAATAACATTTTAACCTGACATAAGATAAGAAACCTGAATGCATGTGTTCATATAAATCCCTTGTACCTTATTGCAGACGACATACAGTACAAATGATGGAACTGAAGATTACAATAATAAATGTCAAAATGTCAAACATACTTCAAACTGACATATTCCATGTCTTGAATACTGATCATGGATCATACCTGAAACCCTATGCTAGTTGTAGATTGCCTATTCAAGATGAATACCGTACACTTGAAAAAGCAGTAGGATGTAGAGACCTTGCGAAAAGGATTCATGAAATATGCAATCTATATGCAAAAAATTATTATCGAACTGAAGAAGACACTGAGAGAAGATCCGCAGTTATAATTCAACATTTTTTTCTCAGTGTTAGAAACAGGTACATTTTCAAAGAGTTGAAGAAGAACTTGTTTGCGCTTAGGAAAAAAGATCCAGTATCCTTGCTCAAGTTAGTGAACTTCTGCCACTCGAAAATTTTTGAAAAAAATAGCTTTCGCTTGATATTTCGATTGGATGGAAGGACATTTCCCCCGACAATAGTTTACAAATTCTTTCCAGATCAGAACAAAATCAACTTGATCAATTTGAGTAGTTGGTTGAGTAACAAAATAATCAGCGAAAATCACGGTCATAGTAGGTGGTATAATTTTAGCATTTACAAATGTAATGTATGTAAAACTACAGTGAAGATCAAACCAAAAACTAAAATCAAACAGAAGAAGAACAGAATAGAAAGTAACTATATCTCATGGATCCAAGAGAAATATGGACAAAGCTTACAGTGAAACTTAAAATTTAATAACTGATAACAATAAATAAATAGTTTTTTTTTATAAAAAATGAACTTTTCTGAACTAATTATATTTCTTTTAGTATCACAAACGAGTGGGCATAACGGCTAAAGGGCTATATACTTCTATTTTTCGTTTCTTACATTAGTATGACTTTTATCCTTCAATGCCAAATTTGAACTCATAATTCTGATTTTCAACTTATGATTAGAAAAAAACTTGCAATAAGGAAGGAAAACATATAAAATAATATATTATTGGATCAACCTGGTTGGTGGAACATACGTCACAAAAAGTATTACAGTTCTAGTGATGAAAGAATTGTTTTTGTTGAATTGATTATCTTTTAATAGAAATATTTTGAAGAATGATTCCGTTCATTAGCAGTTTCTTGAAACATCATAAATTTCAGTTGCAAGTTGTCTTTCCCAATATATACTAGATCATTTTTAAAAAGTGCACAGTAATAAATGAATAATTCCAATGGTGAATGGTGTGCGAACATTTTAGACAGCAATAAATTAAAAAAAAAGGCTGGCAATGAAAATTTCCCATACAATTTGTTTTATATCTTGCAACCCCTAATTAATACTACACCGTTTAAAAAAATGAAAAAATAGTCAATCCCCAAAATCTCTATAGAAATATTTTGTAGCCAAAAACTGGGCAGACAGCTTACAAATTCAAAATTGGATTAACAGATAATCCTCTATGCTCATGTGGACGTTATGGCAATCTCAATCACATCATGTTGGAGTGTTCGCACCACATTCACAGTATAAATACCCTTTACTCTGAATTGAAATTTCATAATATCTTATTTCCAATAAACTTAAATTGTATGTTAACTTCAAACAACAGAAATATATACATATACAAAGTATTACACAATGATCTAATAAGATGCAAAATTAAAGTATGAATGATTGATTGTG